GATGTGCATAGCGTAACATCCTCTTCACTTTTTTTTTTAATTCAATGGCCCTGCATTTTTGTTTTACAATGAATTCTTTTTTTTTTTTTTTTTTTTTTTATGTTCTTACCACTCACTTCCTGGGTAAATGGCCTAATGACACCATGTTGTAGGACTAAAGAGGGTTTGATTTTGAATATCCCATTTATTAAGACTTATTATTTAGAAAGAAAATTTAGTTAATAGACTTTCTAAATTGGCTTTATGATGCATACTAAATTATTAAAGAGTTTTTTATTGCTAAATATATTTTTTCAAGAGATTTATTTAGCAAATTAATTTACTAGATATAATAAGTATTTTCAGTAAAGAATCAGTAACTATTTTAACCTTTGTGGGCCATATGGTCTGTGACACAACTATACAACCCTACCTGTATAATTACTACAACTACACAACTACCTATATAATTAGTACAACTATACAACCCTAGCTACTATAATTAGTACAATAAGAGTCATAGACAATACACAAATGAATGAGCATGGCAGTCTTCCAATGAAACCTTACAAAGACAGGCACTGGGGCAAATTTGGCTCATGGCTCAAATTTTGCTCAATCTCTGTTCCAGACAAATGTTCTTAATTTGTTGTTTTATTTTGGCTTCCTTCTTCTATTCTGACACACCGTAAATTTAAAAGCCAGTGAGGGATATAGAGAAGAAATGAAGGACATTATGTGTTTGTCTCGCATGCGGCACAAGCACAGGTGTTCCCATCTTGAAACCAATAGAGGTGCTATTAATGAAGACAACCATAACAAAAACAAAGCAAAACCTGCGTATTAATACTCCTTTAGCACCATGGCAGAATCTATGATTTCCTAGCTTCAGAAAATGGCCATTATTAACTAGCAATTAGATAAACATCTGAAGAAATGCACTGAGGGAAACGTGTCCAGTCTGGTAAATGGATATGGTTTAGATATCACAGCAAGACTCATGCTGGTCCAGTAAGCACACCGAACCCAGCAGGGATCAGAAGACACTGGAGCTGGGCAATTTCCCTGCACCTACTACTAGAAGAGCAATTCATAACATATGACTTACAACTGTGTCTCATTAACATTCTCTTGCAATTCAATATGCATTGGATTTCATAAATTTGTCTAGAATTTGTCATAAGAATCCAGAGGTAAATAAGGCATACAATGTAGTCACCCAATACTAAAAATTCTAATCCAGAGATAGAAGAAAATACACTTCATCTTGGGATGGGCATCGTGGCTCATGCCTGTGATTCCAGCATTTTGGGAAGCTAAGGCGGGCATGTCACTTGAGTTTTCATTGCATTTGGTTAAATAACCCAGCAGCTGTATTACTGGATTATATGATAAGTATATAATTAACTTTTTGTAAGAAATTGTCAAACTGTTTTCCAAAGTGGCTATCTTATTTTTCATTCTCATCTGCAGCTGATCTGCATCCATACTAGAATTGGTATTTGTAAGTATATGCTAGAATGTGCCAGAAAAAAAAAATATTCTGCAATTTTTGATTTAAGCTTTCTTCAATAAAATCATGAAACTAAACCTATATTACAAAAATGCAATTTGTATTAGATTATAAAAATAACTGTAATTCCTTATCTCTTCCTATATCTACTCTTCTTTGTAAAACAACTTTGCCACTCTTTCTTTGCCCCTTAAATCTTGTCTGACCTTATAACTTGATTAGTAAAATGTGGTAGAAGTAACATCTAATTTTGAGCCTAGCCCTTGAGATTTTGCATATTTCCCCTTTTAATTTTGAATCCCTGTGACTATCATGTGAATAAACATCAGAAGCTACTTAAATATAAAAAGCAGAGGTCATCCTAGCTGAGGTCATTTTAGATGAGCCAGCCTCCAGCCCATCTGGCAGCTGACCACAGATGCATGAATGAGCTAAGTCAAAAACAAAAGACCTACTTAGTTCAACCCAGACAATAATGCTAAACCATAGAATCCTAATTAAATAAGTGGTTGCGATTTTAAGCCACTAAGTTGTGAGATGGCTTATTATGCAGTAATAGCTAATTGATATGCTGTTTTATCTCGAATCTAATTTATATAACCCAAAATAAAATATATGCTTCTACGATTAAGTAAAATTAATGTATTTTTACTGGCTCTTATTTTCTATAACCATTCAAATTTGCAACATAAAAGGGTTTGCTTTAAAAATAAAATGATACTTCATAAAAGCATGCAGATTGATTTCTGTAAATAATTTATAGTCTTAGTACTACCAGAGCCAAAGCTATGTGACTTCAGAAAAATTATTTAACTTTTGTTTACCCCCAAAATCTTCATTTGTAAAATGAGGATACTTGGATGAGTCACACTTTAGGGGAAAATAAATGTGTGTTTGTACATTATATGCATACATGATGTATATATCAATATTATACACACGTACATATTTATGTGCGTGTATATATTATTTTAGATAGATAGATAGATAGATTTTAAAGGCCTTAAAAGAACAAACTCTAAATGAAGCTGAATCAAAAGTAGTATTAGTAGTCCTGAAATACATAAAATAAGTGGTTCATATTTGAATCACCTTGGTAAACCCTAAACATATATTAGTCTGTAAGTAGCAAGATAAAGATTTTTTTAAAGACAGTAGAAATGTATAGCAAATGTTTGATAAAAATTATCTCTGTGAGTGATAATGAAAGCCAACTGGACAGTCAATGGCTACACAGTGAAAGATGTAAGCAGAACTGTTGTATATGGTACAGGGAAAGCAAGCCACAAGTATTGGTTAAATTAATTATCATAGAACTTTAGAGATGGCAAGAACTTTAAAAATCTCCAAGTCCAACATTCAGAGTTTATTGATTTGAATCAATTCAACAAGAAATTAGTGAAAATCTCCATTCTGAAACACAATATGCATATATTATGAAAATTCTATTGTAGAAAGATCAAATAACTTACATAAAGTCAACCAGTTAATAGTTGAGAATAGAAAACATTTCCTTATTTCCATTTCAGTGCTTTCTACTTCACCAGTAAACTATTCTAAATATTGACAAAATATCTGACTATCTCTGACAGATTATTTATTAATTATACATTAAATACAATAAAATAAAAATAAAATTTGGTATACTGTCAGAGAACAAGCTCTTTAATATAATTTTATTTTGAAAAGGTATTTTAGAGGAAATGAGGTGAAGAACACTCTCTACTTCAATGAAAGGACCAGTATAATCAACGTCCTACGTCTTCTTTGGATTTCTGGGATCCTATCTACTTAGAATCTAAATTATCCTGCCAATCACAGTTCCAACCTGGGTTATAAGCTGCTGAAATCAATTCATGCCTCACCCACTTTGTTTCCTATTTTACAAAGGATCCCTTAATCACCGTAATAGTAGGAAACTTTTTTTCTGATACCTCTTTCTTTGTACTATGAAACTCTCAATCTTGCTGTGCCACAATGTCACTTAGAATTAACTATTTTCTCTGAGCTATAATGGTCTCCTTTCTTCTCTTCTCCTTCTCAAGTCATCTATTCCATTTTGTTCAGTTGCTTCTTTATTCTGAGATTATATTCCTATTTGGGAAAAGGAGTGGGGAAAGATTGTCAAATTGTCTTGATTTTGCAAAACAATGGTGACATAAAGATAGTGGTTGCTTTTTAATGTTTCTATTTGGGGGAAAAAATAAAAGTTTGTAAGACTAAGGGTACACGCCCTTAAATTATTTGTCTCATTGATTCAGGAAAGTCACAAGTCTAGGACTCAGACTGTAGGGCTTCAGATTGTCAAAGGTTCCAGGTTTGTAATGCAGATATATTTACAAATTGTCATCACAATTAGCATACTTTATCATTTGCTGATTTTAGTCCCACCAATTACTTAAGCTGCATATATAACACTAGAGGATGTCTGATTTAGTCAATTCAAATAAAGGCTAAATTAAAAAAAAAAAAAAAACCCTTAGTCAAATCAATTATTGACACTATTAACTAATAATAATATTTCTAAAATATTTCATGACTTCTTAAAAGTTCTAATAAATGTTACCTCCTACATAAAACCAGGCAGTATTTCTAGTCTTATTTAACATGTGAAGAAAATGGGATTAATAAAGTTTAAGTGATTTAACGAGAAAGGATATAGTCTTAGAGGATACAATGTAGATCTAATGATTTAATAAGGGTATAAAATAATTATCAAAATTGGCATATAGACATAACTATCTTAACTTTGATCCTAGTGTTGTTCCTACTGCTTCCAGCTGCCTCGTGTGAAGAGGTTCTGATGGCATATTTCTTTGGCCCAAAATCATATTAGATTAGGCAAGGAACACTCACAGACATGTATGATTATACAATAAAACTAGATCAACTGAATGTCAGAAAAAATGTGGGCATTTTAGTACTTATAGTATACATATATTACTTAAAGTATGTATCTCTTTGTGAGAGATGATCAAACTCAGCTCAATGATTAAATGCATTTTATATGCTAAATTGCAGTATATAGCAAGTTGAAAATCACTTTCCAATTTGTCTACCACTCTAAATCTAGGGACCTTAGGGTAAACTGTGCTTTAATCCAGAACATTTTTTTCAATTAGCTTCTTTTTCATGCTAGGAAAATATTCTTTGATATAGGAGCTGTATCTCTACCAATTCTCTTTACCAATTACTACACCCATACCCTAAGAGACCCCTTTGAGCTGCAAGCATTCTTGAGAGGCAAATATGCCTACGAGCTTTACATTCTGCATATTATTAAATTAAATATCACATTACTTTGCCTGTAAAAGCACTCTTTCCAAAATTGTCAAGTCATTCTTTTTATCTGAAAGGATACAGGAAATACACCATTTTTAGATTTAGCTTTAAAAGGATATAGCTTTTAAAGAGATGTAAACCTCTACCACTTAATCTTTAAGTCCCATTTTGCTTTATACCTTTACTGACATTTCTTGATTTCTTAAAATACTTTAACGAGATGTACTTGTACTTAAAAACTAAGAAGCAATGCTTTTAGAGGAAAACCTATTCCACACACCATTGTATAGATACATAGATTTTATTCCTGCCTCTAAAAAAAAAAAACTGATCACACCAGAAGAATTGTAACAATAAGTCAATAATTCCTTAACATTTATGCAGGAAGTTAGTTACAAAGTGATGCTGCATGGTGTGTCTATGGGTGGTGTTTGAAGAGACATTACTGGGCACTATTTTACTCTATTGAGAATATTTTCTTTCCAAATATGATTTCCACATGTCTGGAAAGAAATTCACAATGTATAAATCGATAGTATCCTACTTTACTAAATGAAGGAGAAAAACTGAGACTTGTAACAATTCAAATGAAAATACATTTTTTAAGCTTCCTATATGTTTATACTCATCCAATCATTATTTATTTATTTAACATATATTTATTGGAAACCAATTATGTGTCAGGCAATAAAATAGGCCTTGAGGGTACATCAATGAAAAAAGAAAGTCAGTTTTTTTTTTTTTTCAGAACTGACAAGTTAACAGGAAATACAGACAAGTAAGTTTACAGTTATAATGAGAAAGACATTATAACAAGAGTAGATTCAGAAAGCTGTATAACCAAATAAGGAGGGTATAGAAACCAAATTAAAGGAACTAAAGAAGGTTATAAATAAGGAAAATGACTCTGGAGTACGTAGGATTTAAGCATGCACGAGAGAAAGCACCAACAGTTGTACAAATGTGGAGGCTAAGTACGACATTATTTAGAAAGTCACAGGTTTTGTATAAAAGCACTGGAAAGATTTTTGGTCACAGGTAGTTACTACATGGTTTAAAATAAAAAGGAGAAGGAGTTTGAGAGTCTTGTTAAGAGTAGCTGGTGATGGAAATTAGTACTAAGTGGAAGTGATAGAGAAAAAGGTAAGAAATCAAAGAAATTAACCTTGTAAGGGGGCAGAGCAGAAGATAGAAGAAAATTGAGTTTAAAAAGTGGGACATTTTAAGTTAAATTTTAAATACAGTTTCAGAGTTAGAGTAGAAAGAAAAACTTTTTTTTTTTATGTAAGACCATTTTAAAAGAAAAGTAATCAGAACTTTGAAAAAAGACAGTGAGTTATATTTTAAAAACTGAAGAAAATGCCTCATTTACAAAAAACATTTTAGGAACATGCTAGAAGACTTCCAGTTAGTGTTTTCAATTGTTGTATCTAAAAGTATAGAGAAGATTATCATCAAGGGAAAACCACCTGAAAGAATTTAAAAACTTAACTGACAAATTATAAGCCACAATGAAAATAGCAGAGTAAATATTGTAAAAATCATACAAGGAATGTTAAAAGAGAAAAATCAAAAGTACTTTTATACCGGAAGCCAGGCTCCTTTCTGTAATTTCAGCACTTGCAAGGCTGAGGCGGGAAGATTGCCTGAGCCCAGGAGTTTGAGATTAGCCTGGGAAACATATAAAACATTTAAAAATCAGCCAGGCATAGTGATGTACAGTTTTAGTCCCAGCTACTTGGGAGGCTGTGGTGAGCCATGATTGTACACTGCACTACAGCCTGGGTGATAGAGCAAAACCCTGTCTTAAATAAATAAATAAAGTACTCTTAGAATTCAGAGTGAATTAAAAAAAAAACTTGAGTACCTCCATATTAAAGTTAAACGGGAGAAGATAGTTACAATGTAGGAAATAATCACTATACAGCATACGCCTTCTTCAAATGATAAGTAAAAAGAGAACAAAAGGTATGAAATGGCAATTTACAGATGGTTAACAAAAAGCTAACAAGTATATGTACAGATAATCAACTTCCGTACAGAAATGCAAAATGAAACATAAATTATATGCTGTTTACATTCATCAGAGGGGTGAATGGAAAGTAGGTAATGTCAAGAGTTAGTAAGGATGCTTGGGGACTGGAACCTTCAAGACTTACTGGCAGAATTATCAACTAGTATGACCATGTTGACAAGAATTTTGCCTATAATTTAGTGACATATTAACCAAGTATTCCATACAAACCCAGTGAATTCTGGCAACAATTTGTGAAATATTAATTAAGTATCCCATATAAACCAGCTATCCCACTCCTAAGTATACACAGTAGGGCATTTCTTCCAGTAGTCCATAGGAAACACATAGGAATATGTCTTAGTGAAGTATTTATGATAATGGGTAATTTGTGTTTATCATTAGAGGAATATATATACGATAGATGTACACCATGTATTACTATGTCCCAGAAGAAATAAATTAATAGTATAAACTTTAGAAACAGAAAACTCTTAGAGCATGTTGAGAGAAAAATTAACAAATAGTAAATAGGACACAATACATTTATGTAAACAAAAAACACATATGAACAAAAATATTAAATATTTTATGAGGATATGTATAGATACATATCCAATAAAAGAGATCAAAAACTTTAGAGTGAATATCAGTGTTGAAGAAGGGAAATAGCTTACTAAAAGAGAGTAATCTTGTGTACATCTATAATGACAGTTCACCATAAAGAATATGACTTACTCGGGTGTCTCGTACTCAGTTCCAAAAGAAAAAGCATGAGAAAATATAAAATAAATTATGAAAGGTAAGAAACGCCTATCCAAAGGAGGCAATGTAAATCAAAACATATATTTCATTCTTTCTCCATGAAAGCAAATGAAGCAAAATTTTTTCTGAGCTGCAAAAACACTGAAATCTGCCAGTCAAAAGAGCTATATGAAAATACAGTTTATTGGATCAGATTGATTGAGTTACATTGCAAACAACCTCCACATTCACTATGTTAACTCAACTGAAGGTTTTTTCTTGCTGGTAAAAAGTCTGCTAAGGGTTTAGTAACACTTGCGGGCAGCTGTTCTCCACACAGCGGCTGAGTATTCCAGGCTGTTTCTGTATTGTGGCACTCAATTTCAACAAGAGCATCCACAATTTATGTGGTGGGGAAATAAAACTCAGATAATCAAATACCACCTCAAAAAGGCACACATCTCTTCTGCTCTCAGCCCATTAAGTAGAACTCATGACATGGCCAGTTATCAAAAATGCTAAAATATAAAAGGTTGCATATGCCCAGGAATAGAGAAGAAACAGATATATTGTGAGAGGCCAATGGTGAAACAGGAGGATTTTATTAAGGTGGCCAATGGCTCAGTGGATTATCATTCTAAGACTGATCAAAGGACAAAGAAAATGGGGTACTTTTTATACAATCAGGATGACTTAGCAGCTAACAGGTTTACAGAAGCCAGAACAAAAAACAGTTAATTAATCTGTAACATCTTGTGATGCACATTACACTTGAAATATAGCATTTTGAGAAACACATTGTACATTTTTGGGGTGTTATTTTGCCCTGTGACCTTGTAGCTTGTCAGCAAGAAAAATAGGAGTCTTGAGATGCCTGGGAACTTTGCTGAGAATGTGGGGAGAATAGATAAGGTAGGTTTTACAGGGAGTTGGTTAATTTTAAGCAGAGCTGGGGCTAGCTTTCATACTGAACACAAAACAGTAAACTTTATTTTACTATGCAGCAATTACAGACTACCATTGTTATTATTTAATTTCCTTCTTCATATGGGGGAGAACAGTAATATTTCTTCATACAGTATGTAAATCTCTTTTATATCTACTTTCAGTAGTATAATTTAGGCAGATTAATAATTTTAAAAATCAGTAAATAAATATTTAGACTAATTCATCCAAAATGCAGTTTACTGTGTGTAAGAAAGGGAATCCTTCAACTAGAGGTTTGACTCTTCTGAATATACTCCAAGTGCATGCATTTATTAACGATGTAATCATTAATAAATTAAGAAATTTATTTGAGTAATAATCTAATTATCCTCAATATGGTAGTTGATAATAGAATAAATGTTCTCAGTGCTTACTCTGTGTTAGTCATTCCTTTAGATGTTTTGCATGTGTAGCTCATGTAATCTTCACAAACACCTCTGAGGTTGGATTAAGTATCCTCATTTTATAATTGGGCATATTCAGACAGGTTAAATAATTTTTTGAATTCACAGAGATTTTTTGAATTCACAGAGATACAAGAATAGAGTAGCAGAAATTAGAACCTAGGCAGGTTGACAAAATCCTAGCCTGAAGTTATTGTCATCTTATGTCATTCGTATCTTATGTCACATGATTGTATTAGTCCATTTTCATGCTGCTGATAAAGATATACCCAAGCTGGGAAGAAAAAGAGATTTAATTGGATTTACAGTTCAACATGGCTGGGGATGCCTCGAATCATGGTCAGAGGCAAAAGGCACTTCTTACGTGGCAGCAGCAAGAGAAAATGAGAGGAAGAAAGAGAAAACCCCTGATAAACCCATCCGTTCTTGTGAGACTTATTCACACTGGGAGAATAGCATGGGAAAGATGGGCCTCCATGATTCAATTACCTCCCTCTAGGTCCCTCCCACAACACATGGGAATTCTGGGAAATGCAATTCAATTTGAGATTTTAATGGGGATGCAGCCAAACTATATCAGTGATCAATTTGAATAGCAAATAAGATTATAAAGTACTTTACAAATTATAATGCTCTGCACAAAAATAGATGATTCACAAAAATCTGCAGATACTTTACTCACATTCTTTGGCTACCGTGCCTTTGAGTCATCTTATATCATTCCTATCCACTCAATATCATATGATCAATTGGAATAGCAAATAAGATTATAAAACTACTTTACAAGGTACAAAACTCTATACAAAAATAGATGGTTCACAAAAATCTACAGATACCTTTTTTTATATTCTTTGGCTACCATACCTTTCAGATATAAAATACTCAGTTAAAAAAAAAAACAGTAATGTATGTTATTTCTTGCCACAACCTTTACATCTTAGGATTTTTTCCATCATAGGTATAGATTACACTTGCCATTATCTTTTAAAGAAATAGAGAACAATAAAAGTATACTCATTATTTGAGCTCTATGTACATTGATACATAAACAAGGTTATCCAGAAAAAGATAAGCTCTTTCAAACATCACTTAATCTGTTCAACTATATATAGAAATACTTGTTTTATTAAAATCTACCATATTAAGCTTGCAAATTAATTCTATGAAAATCAGACCATTTTACCTATAATTTTACTGTTTTCATTGTGTCAAACCAGTATATTTAGTTTCATAATTTGATTTATTTATGCCAAATGATTGATTTGATTAAATATTTTCACTTTCAAGCAAATGTTTTGTTTCCTCTTCTTATCTCTTTCTATGTCAACCTAGTGAAAGCCACCTCCTTAGATGGGAAGATATTGCTAGTAATTTGACCATTACAACTGGTTTGTATCTAACCTGTTAACTGAGAAGTTTTACTGGGCCTCTGCTACTCATAGTCCTTAAAGTCCAGAAGCAGGAATCAACTCTAATCCTGTAAACCTTCTTGATCTCTGAACTTTATCCACTCCTTACAATCTTTGTTTGGAAACCAAACAATTCATACCAGAACTCATACATTCTTATAATATCTTGCTAAAGGCAGCCAATATTAACCAACAAAGGCTCTCATATTCTGGTTCTTCACGAATTTCCTCCATCTTTAAGTTCATTGAGCACATGATTGCCACCAAAGTTGCCACAGAGGCAACAGTTGCCTTACAGCAGCACAGAGTTTTTGTGCCTTCTACCTTGTTTTATGTCTTCTTTGTTGACTATCGTTCAACTGCTAAGTCATAACCACAGAATTTAGATATGTTATGGCAGAACCGTATTAATTTTTTTGTTAATTGGAATAATGTTAATAAACACATCTGAAATATCAGTGGCTTGATTTAATGTAACTATATTTCTTGTGTGTGTAACAATGCAATTTGTAGGCATTATAAGTTAGAAGGAAGGACTTTTGATATATACTCAGGATAACAGATAATGTCATATTTAATACATGAGCCAGGGTTATCCTGCACATTGACATCTGGGCAAAACACGAAAAGAATGTTTGAAGGAGATACATCTTTCTTCATAACTACATTGGCCTAAAAGTGTCACTCATCATTTTTCTTAGCTTTCCTCTGCAAAAACAAGACACAGGTCCTGCACAGATGCAAAGATTATTGAGAAACGTAATCTCTGCACAGGTAGACAACATGAAGCAATAACACTACATGACAGACAGATAATGAAATTGTCATTTGACAGCCAACCATTTCTGCCACACAGAGGCCATCAATTATTGTTCAAAGTTTATTAGCTATTTTTTTTTTTACTGGTTGTTATGTTGCTTTAATTTAGTCTAGCATACACCTATACTTGCATCCCTGCTTCTAGGGTTAGCTTCTAACTCAATAATGATTTATTTATTTGTCATCATATTTGAAACACTTAGGAGCCTTAACGAACACTGGCACCTGGATCTAATCAGAATCTCCAGGTTAAAGACCTAAGTATAACACTTAGTAAAATTTTTCCTGGTGGTTAACATTGACTGCCAGAGCTGAGGGCCTCTGCTTACCATGTGTGGAAAGTCAGAACTTTTGTAATCATATACCTCCTGAGTGGACTACAGTCCACTTTGCTGCTAAATTTTCTGAAAGCCCTTTTGCGTCTCTGTTGGCACCAGCAAAAAAAAGTGAATGTGGAGTCCAATAAACAGAATTACAATCTGGTGTTGGGTATGGGTGTGCAGATATAATGTGACACATCTTGGAGTTGGCTTGAAAGCCTGCAAGTTGTTTTCTAATATTTAAAGGTTCTTTTGACAAGATACAACTCAATGACAGAGAGATAAAAGGCAGAACTCTTTGTTAGTTATGATCCAAATAGGAGAAGGTTGACAGGCAAGAACAAACAGGATGTTGCTTCCAGGGAAAGGAAACAGCAAGCAGTAGTTGCATGGAGAGTAGTTCATGCATGGGAGTTGGAATAGGGCAAGCTAGGTTTCTCAAGCTCCCTATTGGTTGGTGTATTAATCCATTCTCATGCTGCTATAAAGAACTGCCTGAGATTGGGTAGTTTATAAAGGAAAAAGGTTTAATTGAGTCATAGTTCCACAAGGCTGGGAGGCCACAGGAAACACAATCATGGCAAAAGGGAGGCAAACACATTCTTTACAAGGTGGAAGGAAGGTGAAGTGTTGAGCAAAGCGGGGAAAGCTCCTTATAAAACATTAGAGCTCATGAAAATTCATTCACTATCAGAAGAACAACAATGGAGCAACCGCCCCACGATTCAATTACCACCCACTGGGTCCCCTCCCATGACATGCCATGTGGGGATTATGGGGACTACAATTCATGTTGAGATTTGGGTGGGGAGACAGCCAAACCATATCAACTGGCTAGTTTGAATAATTTTGAATTATTCAGAATTTGAATTTTGATAATTTTGAATAATCTGAATACTTCCAGGGTTAAAGGCTTTCCTTAGTTATGACCCCAGGAACAATTAAGTCAGGTACTTAGTGGACCTAGAGTGTAAGAGTCTGGTAAGAGAAGGGATTAGGGTGTGAACTTAATCAGTTGCTTAAGAAGTAGAACCTATCAACCTCTAGCCAGAACCTCAAAACTAGGTGAAGATAGGGAGTAGGAAATGATGGTTCAGTAAGGTATATGTAAAGGTTAGTGGTATGTGATTGCAGCCAAATAATTGTGGTGGTCATGGTAAAAAATCTGGGGTGAGAGGTCATGGTGGAAGGCTGGAGGGGTGAAATAAAAGAATGCATGGGAGAGTGAGAGATACTCCCAAGGGAATCGAGAAATGAGTTAATATGAAGCAGTTGCCTCCTGAGGAAAGCAATAGTCCGTATTACTTTTAGGATGGCACAGATAGCATGAATAATGCCTTCTACAAGATTTTCCTTTAGGATTGAAAATGTAAGGGTGAACTTACAGTGTGTTGCTTCCATAATTCAAGACATAATCGGTAGGTGGGTACAGAGGGTCACAGACTTGGGTTCTGCGACAGGCTTTATTTTCAAAAAAGGAACAGCATATGGTCAGCAGTTGCTGCTCTAATGGTGTATAGCACAGAACCAAAAACAGTTTCTTGTGCCAGAAGCCTGCAGGCAATGGAAGGCTATCATAGGTTGTCCAGAGACTCCGGGAGATTCCTAAAGCTTCTAAATTGAAGGAGTTTCAGAGAACACTAACAGAGCACCTCCTGGTTTTAATTTGGACAGATTCTAGAACATTTTGTTGAGCCAGAAACAGCAATCCATTTAAGGTAAACTGATTTGTTAGTAGCAGCACTAGTGAGATTAAATAAAATTTGTGAATGAGGAAACTGTTGCCTCCCAAATCCAAAAAGGACTAAGATATTGGACTCGCACGTCCTTAATGTCCTTAATAAGTGTGTCAAATGAATCTCTTCAGAGGAGGATGCCATCAATGCAGCACCCTACCTATGCTTCTGGAAAAGATGATGCATGAAAGTTCTTGTCTGCAAAGACTGTGTGTGATGAAAAGCTGTTGAGACACCCCCTGGGTAGCCCTGTGAAAATATGTTATGTTCCTTCTAAGGTGAAGGCAAACTGCTGCTGAGAGGCTGATGAAATAGGCACTGTATAAAACATATTAGCCAAACCTATAATGACAAGAAATGTACCAATTGCTGATTGGATGAAGTTAGAAATTTTATTGAATGGATGAAGTTAGCAATTGGTTATTGGGTCTGGAGGCCTTAATGGATAGAACCACAGCATTTAGGTTACAGTAATCACTGTGAGGTGCCATTCATTCCTTCCAGGTTTAAGAAGAGGCCTAATTGGACTGTCAAATAAAAAAGCAGTGGGAAATGCATTCATAAATTAGTTCTTATATTGATGAAGTTATCATCTTCAAAGGTCAAGATTCAACTTATTTGGGGCCATGTTAACTATTTTAACTGAGGATCTATGAGGTCCCACTTTGTCAAACCAGTTTGTTTGTGTGAAAGATTTAATTTTAATTTATTACACACTGTTTCACAGTGTCTGTGCCTCCTATGGGATATATTAGAGCCGTAAGTACTATGGCTATGATAAACTTAGGAAAAGCTATATAGTTAAAATAAAGCATACCTGTTTTCCTCTATTTTATATTTAGTTACTTTCCCATGATTACAGGGGTACCATGCTTACACTTAGCAGGATCCAACATGTAACTGTAATTTGATCCTTAGTATTGATTAAATCCATGAAGCTTTGCCAATTGGAACATTTTAGCAAATGTTCAAGTTAATCCAGAATCTATGCTGTAGAGGCAAAGAAAACAATCAGCACCCTTTTTGTTATTAATATATAAATTATTTTAATACATTTTGGATTCCCATTTGGGTCATATTATAGAACTTTGTTTCAATTTAACTGCATAATAATTAAACACATATAATTATTTAAATGTTTGTTAATGTTATATAGTTAAATATATAATTAAAATGAAACAGGTTCATGACATATACCTGTGTGTGTGTATGTGCTTTTAATTCCCTCTCCCTCTATCCAAGATATGTTTTATCCTTTTTCAAATTAAGCCATTTAACATACTTCACAGGTGTTCTCTTTGTCCTGTGTCTCTTCATCTGTATTTATAAATGTCTTCCTCCAGAGAACATCAAGTCAGTATCATCTGGGCTAGAAACCTCCCTCATGGCAATGAGTGTAAGGTTTAAAGATCCCAGATGTAAGTTAGATTTGAATTAACTCCTTCATTGTGACACAGGAGTACTAAAGGTGTTTTCTACTATAACCTTGACAGTTAGGTTTTGTCGTTGTTGTTATAACAGAGCCATTGTAGTACAGTGGCACAGCGAGAGTATGAGGCACTCCAACTAATGGTTATCAGAACAAAACCACCTTCTTCTACGGCTTTGCTTTCTTAAGTAGTGGTTTTCAGCTTTTGTGTTTGTCCAGTGATTGTCACCTTATCTTTACCCAATAACTCACAGTAGAAACTTAAGCAGTACTGGGAAAAGCAGCAGGGAAATCCAGTGGCCTGTCCCATAGAAGGCTATCCATCTCTCATTTCAAGGCTCTCCAGTCCACCCTCAATAGATGATGGTTTGCACTAAGAGTAGGTTACAGCTGCTCCTTAAGAAAACAGTCAGCCCCCTTGTCAAAAGTATCAGTGCCTTTGAATATTGATATGGAAGGACATTTAATAAAGCACAAACATCCTGGCTATGGGTGTTGCATTGTTATACAAGTGGGTAACTTTGACAAGTATTCCAAAGTGGTGGGAAATGCAGGGATGAAAAATTAATTCTGTTGTTCTTTTGGATAAACATTGACTCCTGGCCTCTGAAGTTGATACTCACTAATCCTTGACTGTTTGGGGAGCATGAAGATTGCTAGGGACAGCAACGACATACGCAGTAGCAAAAAAGTTAATTGGCTAACTCAAGCAGTATTACTCAAAGTAATAATAGTAGCAACATACTAGGTGATTATAGCTTATGGATAAGTAAAAATGAATATATATATATATATGTAAGGTACATGTGATTCCTATGAAGTGGTCTAGTGTTATGAGGATGGAATTAGATTCATTATAAATGGATACTGCAAACTTTAGGGAAACTGCTGAACATTATTTTAAAAAATGTATAGTTTATATGGTAGGAGGATAGAAAATAGAATAATATATTTAATTAAAGCCATGGAAGTCAGAAAAAGAAGCAAAAAAAAAAAAAGAGAAACAGAGAACAATTGCAATGAACAGAAAACAGTTACAAACATAATAGATATTAATATTAATATAAATATATAAACAATTATCTTAAATGTAGGTGGTATAAATGCACCAATTAAAAGACATAGAGTGGTCACGTGCAGTAGCTCACACCTGTAATCCCAGTGCTTTGTGAAGCCAAGGCAGTTGGATCACAAGGTCAGGAGGTCAAGACCATCTTTGCCAACATGGTGAAACACCATCTCTACTAAAAATACAAAAATTAGCCAGGCGTGGTGGTGGGCGCCTATATTCCCAGCTTCCAGGGAGGCTAAGGCAGGAGAATCACTGGAACTTAGGAGGTAGAGGTTGCAGTGAGCTGAGATTGTGCCACTGCACTCCAGCCTGGCAACAAAATGAGATTTCGTCTCAAAAAATAAATAAATAAATAAACAGACATTTTAAAAGTGTAAAAAAAACAAGACTCATCTATATGTTGTCTACAAGAAACACACTTTAAATATAAAAACATAGATAGGTTAAAAATAAAGCAAAAGAGAACTATATATCATGCTAACATTATTCAACAGAAAGTTGGAGTAGCTACGTCGGCATGCCACAGAGATATTATGGATTCAGTTCCAGACCATCAAAATAAAGTGGCCCACACATATTTTTTGATTTCCCAGTGTACATAAAAATGACATTTAAAATATACTGTAGTCTATTACGTGTGCAATAGCATTATATCTAAAAAACCATACACTTACCTAAATTTAAAAATATTTCAGTGCTAAGAAGTGCTAACAATCACCTGACTCTTCAGTGAGTCACAGTCTTTTTGCAGGTGAAGAGTCTCACCTCAGTGTTAATGGTTGCTGATTGATCAGGGTGGTGATT